CCTTTGTCTACCAAAGCAATATGGGGGTCTCGGCCTTAAAAATCTGGTGTATTATAATAAAGCTAGCGTTATGAAAATGGTGTGGGACATCGCATTGGAAAAGGAGATCTTGTGGATCAAATGGATCCATAATAGGTACCTAAAAAACAGTGATATATGGGAATGCCAAATCAAGACTGATGACTGCTTCTATTGGAAGAAAATACTACACACAAGAGATTGCTTTGTGGAGATGGGTAGATCTAGCCCCTATACTACTGAGGCTGGATATCAATGGCTATTGGGCCAAAGGCTGAAACCAGGCTGGACTGGCTTGGTCTGGAATAGGCTCTCACTTCCAAAACATATGTTCATCCTATGGCTCACCTGCAAGGATAAGCTTCTGACCAAAGACAGATTGAGGAGGTTTTATCCTATTGACACTCAATGTTTATTATGCTCAAATGGAGAGGAGGATAGACATCATCTTTTCTGCAATTGCCCTTACACTAGAGAGTTATATAAGAAGATATATAATTGGAGCCATCAGCTATTTGAGGGGCAAACCTTCGAAGAGATTTGTGACCAAATCCAGAAGATAACACCAACTAAAAGAAGGATGAAGCAAACATCAGTGTTTGCAGCTTGTGTGTATTACCTCTGGAAGGTTAGGAATCTGGTCTTTCATGAGAATTCCTTAACCCCAACTGAAGAAGCTTTCAACTGGATCAGATACCATGTTAGCACCTTCATGAATGCTAAATATATGTAGTCCTTATGTAAACTCATAGCGGCTTGTGTTATTATTAGTCTAAGTGTTAGAGGCAGGTTTTGAAGCTTTGTATTTTGTTTTCCCGTGCTGCTATGCACTTATGTCTTGGATGATCAATAAAATTATTTGCATTTGGCTCAAAAAAAATATGGACCCTTAATTATCAATGGTGGAGCTAAGATATAATTAAAGGGATTCCCACCACATATTTTTAAAATTATAATGTAGTATTTGTTCACACAGTTTCGACTGTCACTACTACAAAAACGACCAAATAAATCTCCCCATTTGCATTGTTAACCAAAACAAACGATGTAAATGGCAAAAAAAATTCACGTACCGCTTAGCTTTTGGATTGGTTATTCCTAATAACCGATCTAAAAGAGTCTGTTAAAACACATCCAACCCTACCTTATCCTTACGCGATTTTGAAAAAAACTCCAAACCCTTTCTTCGTCTTCGTCGTGCTCGCTCCTCGACGTTGCCCAACTCCTTTGCCGTTGCTCGTCATGTGCCTCGCCGTCGTCAACTCCCCAGCCACGCCGTCGCTGTGCCCGTGCCACCTCGAGCCCTGCTCCACTTCGCCCTCGTCCACCTCACCCTCGCCGTTCACCGTTGTTGCCTCGCCGTTCGCCGTTCATTTGTTTGTCGTTCGCCATTCAGTTGTTCGCCGTCATCCTCACCCTCGCCGTTCGCCGTCGTCGCTTCTTTAAGGTATTTTTTTAATTTTTTTAACTTTAAATATTTAATTATACTATTATGTGTTTATATATTTTTGCATTAGGTTAATATTTAATTTACTATATATGTTTTGTGTATATGTTTTAGTTGAAATGTGAAATTTTGATATAGATTGCGTTTCAAAAATAGGTTGTTTAATTACTTTGTGTTTGATTTTACATGATCTGAGATGTTATAATATAGAAATAACATATATTGACCGACCTAGATACCCGTTTAAAATTTACTCATTAGGAGTAAATTTTGAATAGCTCCCAGTTTAGAGCTGTTTTTGAAATGCTTCTCTCACTTAGGTAGTGAATGTATTTCTTTCTCTTTGTTCTGTCATGTTTTGGTTTGACGTTTTCTAAATGTGTTCTTCGGGTGCATATGTAATTACGTTACATCGTGCACTTGGAAAACCATTAGAAAATGCTGCCGAAATTTTGATAGGTCATAGAAAATGAAATACATTTACTAGTGAGGGTGACATTTCAAGAATGGGTTAGGATGGTGTAAAGAAGGATCATTTGTATAATGAAGAACTGCTGCCGGATTTTTGTTACATCATAAGAAAATACATTCGCAAAGATCACAAAGAAGGATTATTGATAGATGGGGGAAAGAAAAAGTTAAAATAATGCTTTAGATAATTTTTCTGTTTATATTGATCATTTTAATTTAAGAGGAATTTACTTAAATAGCACTAAAACATAATGACTTTCCCTAAATAGCATCACATGTGTTTTTCTTCCCAATGTAGCACTTTTAGTCATTATGCATTAGTCATTATTCAAGCAAATATTCACCATCACTGGACATTATGGACATTATTAAGTGCTATTTAGAGAATAAAACAGTTTAAGTACTATTTAGGAAAATGACTTAAGTTTTAGTGCTATTTAGTGCAAATATTTCTTAATTTAATTCATTGTTGTTTAACTTTTATTATACTTATGTATTTGTGTTTGTTATTGATTTGTGTTAATTGTTGTTGTGTTGATGGGTTGAATTGTTGTTGTTGAATCTGTATTTTTTGCATAGAATTCTGTGAAAAATTGAAAATGTAGTAGATCGGGAGCAAACAAAAAATTCTTTTGAATTTTTTTTGAATCGGTTATCTGGTAATAACCGATTCAAAAGCCTATTCCCAGAACTGGCAAAAGAGCTTTTGAATCGGTTATTTGGTAATAACCGATTCAAAATGGAGGCTTTTGAATCGGTTATTACCAAATAACTGATTCAAATACCTCTTCCCAGAAATGGCGCCAATCCTAGGAAGAGGCTTTTGAATCAGTTATTTGGTAATAACCGATTCAAAAGCCTCCCTTTTGAATCGGTTATTACCAAATAACTGATTCAAAAGCCTCTTCCCAGGATAGGCGCCATTTCTGGGAAAAGGCTTTTGCATCGGTCAACTTGAACATTTACATCGCTGGCTTTTGCATCGGTTCAAAACCGATTTAAAAGGGTCAAAATAATCGATTCAAAGTCTTTTTTGTAGTAGTGTGTTAAAAGTACATGAAGGGATTTCCATCACACCTATTTTTAATAGTATTAATTTTACTACAATGTACTATTTATTCATACTTTCTTGATTTCATTAAATGTTGGAGCAAATTAAAATCATAATTTTTAATTCATCACCAAACAACGTAATTTGATATAATAACACTTTAATATACTTTCTCTAAATTCTTCAGATACTAATCACTCAAATAAAAAAATAAGATTATCAATTTATCCTCTAGGTATTCCAAAACAAAAAAAGGATTAGAGCTTAGAGAGATATTTATACTGTACAGTAATACTCCATATGATAGTGCAATTGGTCAACTGTCAGAGGACCACTAGTCAACTACAGCGATCGGCAGTGGCATTCCAACAAATAGTTAGGGGTGTTCAAGATTATGCGATCCGAAAAATTCATCCACAATCCAATCTGATCTGATCTGAAAAATAGGCATCCAATCCGATATTTTTTTATGTTTGGTATTCGGATCGGGTATCTAAAAAAATCAGATCTGGTATGGATTTAAATTTTAGATTTTTTCAGATATACGAATATCCGATTATTTGAAGTATTTTAAAAAATACTTTTACCCACTAACCATAATTGTCGTCCAATCCGCTGCTTCAGACTTCCTTCTTTTACATTTCAGACTTCATTCAGAAAGAGAGACGTAAACAACAATCTTTTACGACAATCATTCGAACTTCATTCTTTTATGGCAACCATTCATGCTTCATTCGGTCATCTTTTTTGGTAAAATCGCAGAGACGCATATGGAAAATTTCTTGGTCTCTCTGCTCGGCGACTTCGAGAAGGATACGACCACATCTCCTTTCACCAATTCTATGTTGAATGTGGTAGCAATTGTGGGTTAATTTTTCCATTTCACACTCCTTTGTAAATTTTGGCTAAAAACTTAAACTATTTCAGATATTCCATGATACGATCCGAAAATTTGGATATCCAAATATTTTCGAACCGAATATGGAATGAGTTTTACTTGACAACTTTCAGATATCCGATATTGCAGATCGGATCGATCCGATTGAACACCGCTACAAATAGTAGTGTGGGAATTCTAGTATGATAGCAGAGTTTTGATAGTATAGTGTCACAATGGTTGTGTGAACTCCTATTTTAGCAATAAAAGACTTACAAATTCTATTTTTAATATTTTATACTACGTCCATCTCCAATTTATAATCAAATTGGAGTTTACAAGAAAAAATATCGCACTTTTTGAAATCATTTTATTTACAAATCAGTATATCAATAAGAAATAAAAATTATATATAAAAAACTACGTCAAAAGTTCTACAAAACAAAAAGTAACAAGAATATTCTATTATATCAAATACTTGAAAAAATCGCGTAAATAAACAAAAATTATCGAGAAGAGAGAGTAATCAAAATAGAGACGGTATTTAGGGTTTCTATAATGTAGCAATAAGTAAGAAGTAGAGAATTAGCTCTTAACACCACATTGGGAAGGGATTTGAAATTGCAAACATGCATAAGCCGCCAATATGCACCAAAGGATTCCCTACCCAAATTAACTAAAATTAAAGCACACACTATCCACCATGCATCATATCATACCCACAAATAAATAAGAAACAGTTGTTTTGTTGTGCAACTATAGGACTTGTACAACAGCTTTTGACCAAAGAATGTGGATGTACATTTATTAATCCTACTATTTGACCAGACTATTGAGGCACTACATACTAACATGGCTAGAAGTTAATGCACATTTCTAAGTGCAAACTCTATTGTTGCCGTTATTTGGGTCTTTCTTGTTTCCCTCTCTGGTTGATCATAGTGTTTTACAACAAAGGAAAATGCTAGGGTACCACTACATAAGTGCTACCATGGGTGCACCCATGTTTCACACAGATAAACATAGACGATAATTGTCTGTGCGACACAGACAATTATCGTCTATGTTTGTCTGTGTGAAGCATGGGTGCACCCATGGTAGCACTCATATAGTGTCACCCTAGCATGGCCCTAGAACAAAACAGATCTGCACATCCCAACCAATTTGTTTTCCTGACCCCATAGCCTTTAATTCATGCCATTGACTACCACTTGCTCCGGCCTTATTCACTTCCTCGGCCTCGTTAGGTTTTTCAAATGAGAAATGCTAGAGTCACAAACACTTTGATCACAAAATACACAAATTTACTATTTGTGTATTTAAATGTTTAATTTTTTAATTATTTAACTTCATTTTATTCACTTAATGAGGTGCACAAATAGCAAGATTGTGTATTTTGTGACTGAAGTGTTTGTGACTCTAGCATTGCTCTTTTCAAATGTCATTGGCCTGGATATTTTAAAAGTGTGGGGAATGTGTGAGTATTTAAGACAACAAATTGATTCTTTTAAGGTTGTTTATCGAAAAACGATGAACCCTCATCCCAAGTTAGACGAGAGGAAGTAAGTACTCCGTATAATAGAGTTACCCCTTGGTTCAGTGCCCTGTTCGTAAAATTGACGGTTCCTACCCTCCAACCCCCAGTAAACCCCCACCTAGCCCTGACCCGAACACACCCCACCCCTTTCAATTGTATCCCCAAGTTAATTTTGACTTTGGAGTTAAAATTTGACTCTAAAGTCAAAATTAACTTGGAGGTACAATTAAAGGGGGTGTGGGAGTTTGTTCGGGTCGGGGCGGGGTGGGGGTTTACCGGGAGTTAGGTGGGGTAGGAACCATCAATTTTACGAACGGGATACTGGAGCACCTCGGGTCATCCCATGACATTGGTTCTCAATGTCATAGGAACCGGCCTCATAGAGTTATAGTGTGAGGGTAAAATTTTGCGTTTAGCACTTTTATATCAGCAGTTGAGTATGCCTTATTGGCTTTTAACGTTGATTATCAATATTATAATATGGCATAGGGCACTTTGCACACTTACGAATTCAAATTCTAAATTAAATTTGTATTTATTTGATTGTTAGTCGAATTGTTGTCAAAGTTATAAGGGTAGAAAAAGTTATGATTATCAAAAACTTGTTTTTAATTTTACTAAAAGTTATCAAATAGTTATCAAAAGTGTAACATAAAAATTTACAATGAGACAAAGTAATTATAACGACTTGTTTTGTGAGTATAGAAAATATGAATTTCGGTATCAAAATTTATTCCACATCTATCAGGTTGTCACACAAACGTGAAATATATATGTGTACGAGGCGGTTCATGTGACACTGCCTCGTATTGTCATGTGATGACTCGGAAGCGCTACGGTGTTCAGAGCGCAAAATTTACGGTTCCTACCCCCCTCCCTGCCACAACGCAAACACCCCACACCCCCTTCAATTGCACTCTCAAGTTAATTTTAAATTTGGAGTCAATTTAAAAGGGGGTGGGGGTGTGTTCGCGTCGGGGTGGAGGTTTAGCAGGGGGTTAGGGGGTAAAAACCGTCAATTTTATGAATTGAGCACTGTAACACCCACATGTCATCCTATGACATGAGATTCCAATGTCATGGGAACTCCTTTGATGTGTGTATGTATGATAAATGCATAGTTCAGCTGTGTTACAAATGAGTTATATATGATGTAAAATACAAACAAGCTAAGGTATGCATAATAAGGATTGCAAAATTTAGAAGCTTCTTTGGTAAGTTTTGGAAGTATGATATGATATAAGTTTTTAAATTTGAAATAACATTGTTTGGAGGGATTTAAAATTATGACTTAATTACTAATATGTGAGGTGACCAAGAACTTGGGTGGTTGACGATGATAATGGTAGCCGGTGGGTTGGTTGGTTGGCAGATGAGGAGATATTAAACCATCGTCTTAAATTTTCATATTCGAGAACTATCAAAACTTTCAGCTATGTGATACCTTGAAATCTCAAATTTGAATTCTTTTAACGTTTCACTAAATACCAAAAATAATTTTAATATCAGGACATATCATAATCCATATCTACGAAGCTTACCAAATATTCTGGGGTAAGGTCATAAATGGTGGGGAGTTGCACCCTAGTTTGGGCTATCTAAGAGGAAAATACTTGGGGGGGATCCTAAGGAATGCACAACCAAGTACACACCACTCAATCACAGATGCACAATATCTATGTCTGTATCTGTCTGGGAGTGTCTTAATTTATACTTTGGTGTGATCCACACCAAATGGACCATGTGTTATGGAACGTGAGAAGGGGCTTAATCAAGCTATGACGCATTCATACCCCTCTTTCAATGACATCTTAATGGTGATAAGGTCTTTGCCCCTCTCCTCGTTACTACCATCACAGGGTTGCCCATCTTCCCTCTCTCATTATTTTTTTTCTTTTTTCTTATTATATTTCAACCAACTAAAATTAACACGTATTCACCCTTCATAATACTCTTTTACACTCACCATAACAGACATTTTTCTATCATAAGAAGTAAAGTAATAAGAAGTAAATTAAAGACAACAAAAACTCAAGAAGAAATAAGACACATAGAAAGTACCTAACACGACAAAAGAATAAGAAGTATACTGCAACATGAGTAAAATGGAGGCTATTATTGACCAAGTATTCTAGTGTTAGATCTTCAATTATATGAGACAATGTATTAATTGCAGGGCGCGAGGTGTAAAATTATGCGTTACAAAGTTTAACCGTCTTTGTATTTAGTTTCATTTATTTGATTGTAAATATAAAATTTAAAAATTAAATTTATTCAATAAAAAAGTATATAAAAGTTATACTCCCTCCGTCTGGAAATATTCTTCCAATTTGACTTTTCTTGGTCAAAGTTTGTAAACTTTGACTATGATATGTGGAAAAAATACATTGTATTACTATATAACTTTAATATGAATATATTCATTTTGAAATATAGTTTTCAAATATCAAATTTTTATAAAATATATTCATGTATAAATAAAGATATTAGTGGTCAAAGTGCAATCTTGGAGACCGTAAAAAGTCAAATGGGAAGAACATTTCCAGATGGAAGGAGTACAAAACACGATATGAAAAGACTATTCAAACAAAGTGAGTAAGTTTGAACTTGTACCAACTATGGTACACTTGCTCTTTTACGGCCTTGTTTGACATCTGCGTAAGAGATTAGCATTAACGTTTTGAAAAAAAATATTCGACGATAGTCTTTGGTTATTAGAGTTTTCAAAATTATTCTACACTATTAAAATCTATCTAAAACGCTAACACTAATATCCAATTTCTCAAACTAGCATCTCATCTAAGAGCATCTCCAAGGTATAGTGTAAAAATTGGTAGTGTAAACTTCATTTTACACTATCAATACTGTTTTACATTTCCATTTTTTTATACTTACTCCAACCATATTTTCTATATAATACATTTTTTTATAATATTTTATTGTTTTAAGTTACTTATTTTTAATGATTTTTTAAAAAAGACTTAATAAATACCTTGTACATATGAAAATTGAGAAGAGGGAAGGATAAAAATGAAGAAAATTAATTTTTTATTCTTTCTACTATCTATAGTGAAGTTGTAAAAATGCACTTTAGAGATTGCTTCTTACACTACATTGCATTTTACCACTTGGTTTACCTTATCCATTGGAGTATTGAAAAGATAAGACTACCCCTTGGAGTTGCTCTAACCCCAACAATAATAACACTTCTCCAAATCAATTCCGGAGGAGTAGCATTTTAAGTTTATCGGTATCCGTAATTTGATAGTTTGACTTATTTTATTAGCCAAAGAGGCCACACCATTAATGTACCTAACACGCCATTGCCTTCATTAACTCACTCCCCCCATTCAAATTGTTTCTTCCGCAGCGCCACCTTCCGCCCTTTTTATAACCCCCGGCCCCTTCCTCTTCCTCACATTCAAGAACCAAAACCACCCCCCTCAACAGTTATACTCCCTGCCATTTCCCACTCTGTGCCCAAATATTCTCCCAAACCGCCATGGATGTAACTTCTCAAGCTCTTCCCTCAACCCGCACTTTTTTTTTTCAATTCTTTCTTTCTTTCTTCTTCTGATTATATGACCCTTTTGTTCTCTGTTTGTTTGTTTGAAAATGGTGTGTAAACAGGATGAGTATGGCTACTGGACGAGGAAGGGCCACATTCCGGCGTTCGGGAGCTGGGACCTCGACGCCGACTTCCCCGTTCCTTTCACTCAGTGCTTCGAGTCCGCCACGCCCCCCG